GATTGAATGTAGCACGACTGCCCGGTGCTACATGCCATTTTTCTCGGATTTCTTTGACAATTTTTACCAACAGAATTCCAACCTACAGTTGATTTGAAAATGTATCTAAACAGGTGGACTACACAAACATACTGTTTTACAGTGACAGTGGTAGAAATCTGCAAAAGCGACCGAGCAAAACACCGAGGTTCATGCACAATTAAGCGAGTATTTTCATGCGACAACTACATGTTTCGAATATTTTAAGTATGCGAAGATTTTATTTAGCTCACGCTCACGTATTTACAACAACATTTATAGTTACATGTAATTTACTCTAAATTTATGCCAGTGGGATAGATTGTAAATGAAAGAACAATATATGAGACGGGCCAATTTCAGCTAAAAACACGTCGACAGAGCTGGTATCTTTGTAAGCAGCGATTTGTTTATTTAGCACTTGAGAAAAGTCAACTCAAAAACTTTACCTAAAACGGTGGTTTGTTCACTTAACAATAAAGGAAGGTTAATTTTTAAGTTAAAATCGACATATTTAAATGAATCAAAACTGAAGTAGAAACACGTCGAGTTTTGTCCCAATAGCGTGCGATTTGCAGTAGGAGTACAGCAAGGAAAATGGCCTAACTTCGTGAAACTGCACGCTGTATATTTTGGTCTGGCGCGCTTGCTTTTCACGGGCCAAAAATACTATTTTTACATGATAAACACGAAGAATTTCTCGTTGAAAAGAGCTCTTTTATTTTATGTACATTTGTATACCCTCTATGTTATGGTCGTCTGAAATATAGCAAAATTCAGCGTACAAACGGAATAGAAAATATAGTGTACTTTACGCGGTGGTTACAAACGAAAGAAAGTTCAGTTGGAGATGAAATATAGTTGCAAAGCTACTCCAAGGGATGAAAAACAACTTATGAAAAAATGAATCCAAGATAAGTTTTCGTTGTCTTGTGCGAGCGTTGTGAAAATGCACTGAAAGCCCAATAGAAATTATGCAAAATTAGGTACGTTTTGGCCGATTTCGAACTTTCGTATTTTTTTTTCAAAATAACAACTCGCTGGAACTTTTGAATATTATTTTTGAAAACGATTCACCAAAAGGGTCTTTTGAGCAAATTAAAAAAATGTTGAATTTTTGCTTCTGTAGCCGGATTCTCGAAAATTACTGACAACCTCTCTTAAGTACGATGTCTGGTATGTTCGCTGTGATAGTTCAGTCAGTACTGGCATGTCCCATATGATGGTGATGTTGTTGTCTTTCGATTGTGCGTGACAGTCTTTGGCTCAAGTTGGTACCATTTGTCTGTAATCTCGATATCATGATCTTTATAAATGCTCCAGTGGAGATATGCACAACACAAACCAGTTTCATGCAATAGCCATTTACCAGCATGTGGATTTTCTAGAGCAGGGTTTAATTACCAAATATATAATAAGAACATGATTATCGAATATGCTTTGAAAAATTCATATCCTAGATTTCTCCAGTAAGGAAGCTGATCTTCAGATTGAATAGTCCCCTGTTTCCTCCTTTAACTCGTTTTCCTCGACTTAGTGAAGCCTATTACAGTTGGCTTTACCTTCGGACGGTATTTTGAATTACAGGCACGATTGCAAAATTTATTCAATAAATTAATGTTACGTAAAAGTCTGGCTCATGCCTAGCACCCTTCGACATTTTAATTCGAAGGTAGTTACTAACAACTGAATGGTTTGAATAACACCGAACCTTTTTGAATGTTTTGATCGATCAAAACGGACGCAAGTAGGAATATTTATCTGATTGTTCGCAGAGCCGTAAGGATGTTTCAGGCGGGCGCTTCTTTGTTTTTTTTTCTCTTTATCATCCGGAATTTAATGAGAAAAAAAAAACGTGCTAACATGCTCTCGTTCAAGACTGTGTTAGCCAGGAGAGTTAACTCTTTGTTAGCTCTTTTAGAACGCTTTTAACATAATAAGATTTCAGACTAACAATTTTCCATCTCCTTTGCAGTAGATGTTTTATGTAATCGCTTTATCCTTCTTTTCTTTTTAGAAACAAGGAAGAATAACCTCTATTTAGTTATTAAGTCCTGATCATCAAAAACCATCAGTGGAGTATAACAGTGCGAGTGTGAAGTATAAGGGAGTGACCCATGCATCGCACCGCTAACAATGAACCCAATTGGGCCGTTTTTTCGTGATATTTATTTTCTTTTACGGGGGCCCGCTGAAATCACTTTATTTGTTATTCCTAAGTATTGCTCTTCGCATCCTATACTGTGCATAAAAAAACACACATAAAAATCTAGAAGTGGGGACAAACACGAGACTACGTCTCGTGTTTCTTCCTACAATTCATTCTTGTTCTAGCTGCTTCCTGCGTGCTTTACAACGGAATAAAGCACAGTCAAGGCTTTTATATTTGTTACATATGAAAGATTGTGCGCTATTCCTAACTCTATATTTTTTCGAACATCTTACAACTCTAGCAATTTACAAACCAGCAGGAGAACTAGTACTTTCAAAGAACAATGATTGATATCCATAAAAGGTTAACTGATACTTGTGAAGGTACTTGTTTTAACTTGTACTTGTACGTCGAGACTGACAGAGTGATATTGGAAATCAAACTTATAATTAGTTTTGTGGACAGCAGGTTCTGAATGAGTTTCTTCTTTCTGAGATGAAGAGAGAATCAGTTAAATCACACGTTAAGTACGAAAAAGTCAACGATTTCATAGAAAACTTCAATTCATGCAAATTCTTGAATGTTTATCAAAAGGCTTTTGAAGACATGACGTGTCACTTGACAACGTTTCGTTGGCCTATTTCCACTCTTATTTAATATTACATTTGACAATTGGCTAAAATGATGTCTAATAAACCATATGTTTTGTTCGTTAGACATTAGAGTATCCTTAAATTTCGCCCATATTTTTTAGCAACTCTCTAAAGCCAAGTTATTTTTTGTGACTGATGTTGGCAATTCTTGTAAAGAACCAAAAATAGACCTTTTTAAATTCAAATTAATGTTTCTATAACAATATAAAGAAATTTAGGTGTCAACTTTTTGTATTTTTTTGTAATTTCTAGAAACTTTTCAAATTAGCAACTTTCCAGCAGCTTAGGATCCCAATCGGGACAGGCCTAGTCTCAATGGGGTGATCGCTTTTACGGGCAATTAACGGTTAAAAATGTTATCATTTTACGGCTAATGGTTAATTTCTCTCTGTAATTTTGATTATTTTGGTTGTGTTACGATTAACTGCTCTCCCCACTAAGGCGCTGTGATATTTTTAAAACCACCCCCCACCCTTCATTAGCCTTCAATTTTCTATAGTCCCTCTTTTACACTTTGTTGGAGACGACTGACCCCTCTGTTCCCAACTAAATCCATGAAACCCCCGAAAAAAAAATCCAACAGCATCCCTACCCCTCCGACGACTAGCTCCTAGAGGGTATAGAGAGAATAAAATTTAATTTGGAACCATGCGGTCAGATGCGATCGAACGATACGTCACGATCCAAAGTGACACCATTTTAATTCTATAAAAATTTATAACTTTTTTCTATTTTCTGCAAAAATTCGATCCACTTAGTCTCACTTAGAGAATTCTCTGGTATTAATCAAAAAGTAAATATTTAATATGCATTGAAAAGAAGAAAAAAAAAATGTAAAAAAAAATGTAAAATATACACGGCAGAACTCTCACGAAAAGTGATTGCGAAGAAGTACCTCTTGTCAAATTGAGAAAACAAATCCAAATTTAGAAACAGAAAAATTACCTGAGGTCTCACATTTTGATTTAAAAATGAATATAGGAGGCCAATAGCGCATAGATAGGTATGAGAAATAAGGAGAAAGAGCAATAATAATATTATAAAATGCTTTTTAAGTCGGGTTGGACCGGGAATTATTTAGGTGTCGTTCATGACGTAAGAATGGAAATAAGTTCCGCCTTATTGTCATGACCTGAGTGAAAAATACGTTTATGGTTCTGCCCTGTTCCTAACAAGAACAATATTAAAGCTGTGTCGAACAAACAATAATAAGAAACGAGTTTTGAAAAGCCAAATAATTCTGAAAAAAGTGTTTATTACATAAAACGAAGAGTTTCGTTGCCATTTACTTGCATTATAACAACGACTTCGTATTTTGAATTTCGAAGAAAACGGAAATTCTGCATGAATCTCAGCAGACATTTTTTCAAAGGAAGTCTGCAGGCGGCATTCAAAGAAGTTTTAAAAGAAAACAGAGCATCATGTTTCATAGTTTTATCACTTAAGCATGTTGAACTCTGTAAAGTTCCTCTTTCAATACTAGTCAAGTTTTATTTAAAGTCAATTTGTTTTTAAAGATCTCTCTATCGATCTTGAAAAGTGAAGAAAGACTGCGATGCTCACTCAGGCAAGTTAACAGCATAGGAGAAGTACCTTATGGTTCTGTTATCATCATGATAGGATAGAGCTAAACCAAATGTATCATTTTGGGAAGTTTTTAATAAGCGTTTTTAGGGGCAGCGAACTGTGTGCTATTTTAATAGTATGGCGTGAATGTTTGAATCAGAAAAAAGCTGCTACTACATTCGGGAATGGGTCGTAAAGGAGTCTGTTACTTTATATTTAGATGTCTTTTTTTGCATGCAATGAGGCGACGACCGTTCGCTGTACTTAGTAAAAACTGTTTCTGCTATTGAGCTTTGACAACTTCTTATTGTAAAAAAATGAGTAAAACTTTTCATTAAGCCGTAGACGAACGCTCAATGGGACTATTTTAGCTTCCGTTTCTTATCGACTCGTGCCATATCTCACGCTTGCTTTTTCACAACAAGCTTTAAATTTGTAGTATGCATGACGTATCGCTCGTAATGCGTGTGTGCGATATGTCATACTACTTGAAAAACAGCCAAACAATAAGTGGCTCTGCAGTTATCCCTGTTTTTCAGTGGAGCCTAATATTTGTATCACTGTGCTCTCAAACTTAATGATTTCATTTCAGGTGAGATTTTATAACAAAAATGGGAGTCCAAGAGTTCTTTTATTTACCAGTTCTCCTCTTCACGTTGGTTTTACTTCACTCAGCTGTTACTCAGTACCACCGTGATACACGTGAAGTCTCCATCTTTGGTAGGATGCTTCAAAAACACGTTTTTAAAACAATCACTGGAGCAGCATTCGGTGATGTGTGTTTGCGGGAGTGTTATCGTGACGTCAGATGCCAAAGCTTTAACTATGTGTTCACCCAAGACAAGCGTGAGCTGAGTAACCGTACAAAGGAAGCCAGGCCTGAAGATTTTATACCCAACTCTGATAGATATTACTTCAGACGAGATATGAAGAGAGGTGAGCGTTAAGGTAAAATGATTTGGCTAATTGTCTTGGAGGGGAGGATTTCGCAGTTTTTCTTCACTTTCTCGTTTTCTTATTTTCTAACTATCCTCGGAGCCATTCCAGAGCTTTCTGCAGACTCGTGCAAGGAAATCAAGGCGAGCGAAGGTGGACAAGTGGTCAGCGGAATATACTGGCTGAATTTCATCAAACCTCACACTCCTGTGTTGGCTCATTGTGACATGATAAGCGAAGGTAGAGTAAAGCAGTTAAACAGAAGGGGTATACGGTAACACGTATTGTACCTGGCATACAAGCTAACTGTCAGCTTTTTCTGTCAGGTGCAATAGGAATGGAACAGTGTTAAATATTGTAGTGGGAAAAAGGGGAGGAGACTCAGTGGAGGTTAAAGGCGGACAAAGCTCCTCCCATGGGGAAAGAGGTGGATCTAGTTCTCAAGCCTGGATCGGTGGTCGAGCCGGAGGTATGAATAACGGTAATAACGAGGGCCCTGCACCAGGAACAGTTGGTGGGTTTGGCGGTGGGGGAGGTGGATCAGAGGATAATGGTGTATCAGGTGGAGGTGGTGGGTACTCTGGGGGAGGTAGTGGTAACCGTGAAAAACAAGCCGGAGGCTGAGGAGGCTCGTACTATAATGGCCAAGATTGTTCCGGTTTGACTGGTGGGAACTCGAATGATAATGGCCTTGTGCAAATTATAGAACTTTAGGGCTGATTCCAAAACATTTCTTGAGTAGTACAGTTATTTTTCAAAAGCAGATTTTCCCATTAACAGGAAAAAGCCGTTTTATTGGTAATTGCAGAAGTTTTATATATATTCAAATCCCTTGTTCCTTTCTCAACATGAGAAGATAAGAATGCTCTTCCCCAGGCTAGATATTAATAATGTCACCGTCTAGGATCATAATATTCAACACGCTTTAGCTTAAAAATCCTGACATTTGATAAAACTCTTTTAAAGTTTGCTTGTAAGAATGTGGTCAAAAACCATTATAAAGTTACTAATTTAATTCAGGCTTGAGCACGTGACCCACCTCATAAATTATAAAATTCATAATTTAAAGGAGTGTAATGAGTTCAATCTATTAACTATCCTATTATAGAAAGTTTTTTTTAATAGTAAACTCTTTAGAACTGGTCGATAGTAAAACAAAAGGTACGCTTCACAGTAGGCACAGTCGTCTAGTATTTTGTTGTATAGCATAATAAAGAAATTAGAGGAGGCGGTGTAGAAACAAATCGAACATTTTGATAACCTCCTTTAAAGTGCGTAGGAAATGTCTTGCCGGTTTAACGTTGTCCTCAGTCGAGCCGTGTTCACCTCTAAAGGTGGTTGTCAATAAACACGAGCGGGAAACATTCCATTATTACCTTCTGATGTCAAAGATTTTGTAATGTTGTTCACTCAGATCAGAAACTTTACATAGGCAACATTTTTATTATTGGATGTCATGTGACCCCAAAGTAACCAATGATAGCGCCTGCTGTTGAAAAAAAAATTCCAGTTGTATAACAATATCAGTTTTTGGTAAACAAGGTAATAAGGTTACCAGTCGTTTCGTACCTTTTTTTTTCCAACACTTTCTCTTGTTGAAAGAAAAAAGGATTCAAAAGAGACAAATAGGTAGAATATTTTGTTAAACGCCACTAATCAGTGTTTTGGAAGTTTATCAAGTTATCTAGGTAGCTCATCTAGAATTTTCATAAATCGTTGTCCTTACAGCAATCTAATACGTGGTAAAGTGACGTCTATTTTCGTTATGTTAGGGCGTTTGTTATGAGTACAGATTTATTAAATAACTTAGAGAAAAGTTTGGTCATGCAAGTCAGCTATAAGATATGGAGTAGTAAAAAAAATACACAGGGTAAGACATCGCTTATAAGAGGTTTTGTAGTTTATCGATAATCATAATAGTCCATTTATTGGAATTTCCATAACTCGTTTGCGAGCATTATAATCATAAGGACTTAAAAAGTGACTTTCGTAGATATTATACCTATATTATTGATATTTCACTCGATAAAGCAATAATAATAAAAAGGTCTAAGAATATCACTAAATTAGATATTTGGTAATGTGTTTAAGCCTAATTTTTAGTCAAGTTGTAAATTGTTCAACTCATTTTGATAATTCTAGTTCATTGTAGTACGTGGTATTCAAATTATTTCATAGCTTGGTTCAAACGAGATCATCATTTCTATTTCCGTGTGTAAACTTGCTATCTAACTGGGCGTCAAAATCTTCAAAACTCAGACTGTCCATTTCGTTTTCTCTTTGAGGATTTCCGCCTCTGTTCACAACATTATAACGTATTTTATATTGTGTTGCTATTTGCTAGTTCGCTTGTTCCGAAATTTCACTCTCAATTAGAGAAAAAAAAAGCTAGAGAGAAGTCCGGGAAATGGTCAAACATGGGACGATTTGGCAGGATAATAACATTTGGCTCATTGCAATTTTCGTCGCCCAATATCAAAAATTTTTATGATTGACTCTGGGATTTAGTCATTCGAAAAATACGTGCGTATCTCTTTCCATAAAAGCAAAACGAAAAAAAAAGCGCTTTGTAAACATTGTATTGAATGTGGTTCGAATGGCATTCTGTGATAAATTAAACGAACTCCTTACGTAAATCAAATTATTTTCATTTTCCTCCATCGTTTCAGGGGAGTTCATAATATTACTTACACTACTTTCTTGGAAAATTGCTAGTGCGATCTGTTAATTAAAAGTCTAATTAAAAAAAAAAAGAGATCGGTTTGCTGCGGACGGTTTGACATAAATTTTTGATTCGAGATAAGCTCATTTAAGCCATGAAAACTGTGGAAATACATGAAGGAAATGGGAGCTTAGAGTTTAACACCAAGACATTACAAGACTTATCTTTCTGATAAATAATCACAAGTATCTGGGAAAGCTAAAACATTTAGCTGCTATGCCTGACCCCAGTGTTTCAAAACTTTCCATTGATTTGCGTCTTTATCAATTGAGAAGAGAAAAGGGCGCGCACTTTCTGCTGTTTTGCAAAGGAGAAACATTTGTTAAAGGAGTTGTGCTAATTAGGAGTTTTAGAAAGATTTAAAACGGGCAGAAAATGATAGAATAGAGAACAAGTCAAGTATGAAGACGTAGGCATTTACTGTGTTGTGTCGATGCTCCTATGTGCTATTCCTTTTCTTGCGAAAAATAAGGAATGTAAAAATCTTCATAAAATCCTAGGACCACCTTTCTTGTTTTCTTCTCAAACATCTTAGAACTAAGTACTTTCCTCATAATTATTGATATACAGCGCGATATAAAAAAATTGAAATTTATCCTTAAATTTTACCAGCATTCTGTACATCAAGTATGCAGAGAAACAGCCCTTACGATTTTTTTCTCATACAACCAAGAGATATTTTCTAAAGAAGACTAAGTCATCGATCTGTTTTGGATCTGCAGGTGAACAAAAAATTTCTCTTAAAATACTTGTTTTTGGTAATACCGGCCTCTGTTTGTCTGCAAAGAACCTTGACACCTGTTCAACCACTTGTTTCTAAACATCAAAGACTCTGGGATTATAATTGTAATCTACTCCAAGGTAATAGCAGACTGGTGAAATGTAATACAAACAATTACTTTCGGGTAGCTTGATTCCCTAAAAAAATTCTAAATTCCCCTAAACAGTTTCCAAGAGGCGTTATCATCTACCTTGGATAGCAATCAAGGTACGTACAAGATATGTAAAGTACCAGGTCAGATATTTTGAAAAGTTCATCTGATATACAGAACAGCTGAAGGTTCGATCGCTACAGTATAAACTATAGCATTTGTTCTTCCTCTGTTTAAGCGTTGAATCCTCTCACCAATATACATTTATCAGGACTATTTTAAAGATTTACGAAATTCACACATTTCTTAAGGGAAGCATAAATAAAACTTGGCAGGTTTTCAATTAAACAAGGCTGAATCTCAAGGTTCATTTTCCATCCTTATGTCTGTCAAAGCTTTGTTACTGGCGATAAATTACAAATCACTTTTCATTGATAAATGTACACTTTCGTATGGAAAGCAAATGTGTACGATTTGAGAACAACAATAAAAAATAAAATTCAACTTTTAATCGTTTTGAAACCTTATGTGACAAGTTAACGGCTTAACTCGTAAAAATACTTAGCGATACTACACACCTAAACTTCTAGTAAGAAAGTTATTAGAGGGTGGAAGTACAGCTAGAAATTATCTTTGATGAAAATATTTCTTGTCCTCAGTTCCTCTTGGTTCCATTCCTGAATTTCCAGCGGAAACATGTGAAGAGATAAAGGCCAGCGAAGATGGAAAAGCGAAAAGTGGCGAGTACTGGATTTATTCCATTATAACGGGAAAAACTGCTCTGGTTTCTTGCGATATGGAACCAGAAGGTAAAAATATTCAAGTTCTTGTTGTTGCAACTGATATGAATGTGAAAAAGTTTGTTTAAAAATTTATAGTTCTAGTAATTTAGATATAAAGGTAATAACAATAATATACACTTTTTGTTGCCTTTCAATGAAAACCTTAAAGCAACCATCATAAATAGTAGCAGACCTTACCCTCATCATTTCCCATTTGCACATATCCGTATTTATTGAGTAAAAAAAGTTATGTGTACTCTAGGATTCGGTAGACTTTCAAGGGCCAAATTCTTTCGATCATCACGGCTCGACCAAGGAACTTTAGCAAGTGATTAATTGTAAAGCATTCAGACCAAACTAGCATATGAATATGCAGCTTTTGCAGGCAAATGTGTGTGTTTGATGACCGTTACCATTTTAACCGACTACCATCCATACCAAAAAAAAAAAAAAAGCATAAAATCGACTCATGTATATGGCCTGCAACATTTCTGGCGCGGTACTAATTATTCCTGTCCTACCTTGTATGTGATATTTGTATCAACCTGCTAATCTATATCAACAGACATTGATGAATGTGCCAGCGGTGTTCACAATTGCCACAGTTCAGCCTCATGTACCAACACTGTAGGATCGTTCAAGTGCTCATGTAACCAGCCCTACATAGGGGATGGAAGATCTTGCATTCCTCTCCCATCAGGTAGAAAGTTGAGTCGGGTCTTCCAATGTTGCTGCTTTTGTAACTATGCTTTCACGCAGGCATCCGGCTTGACGTAGATACAAACAACAGGGGGGTAATAAACTTATTACTCAGATAGTAATCAAGCAACTAACAACTTACTTATTTTGCTTCATTTTTGCGCTCAAGGATTTTTGTTGCGTCATATCTTTGGATTTCACGTGACGTTATGAAAATCGAAAATCCAAAATAATTAACAATAATCCACTTAAGTGGAGGAGAGTAGTCATGGATATTTAAGCGCCGAGGTAAATATCCACCACTTTAACCGACAGTGGTAATGAAGAATGTTTGAACTTCAGACAATATAACGAATATTGGTTGAAAATTAGATTTAACTTAATAGAACTTGCAAATCATTCCCGAACCAGCCAATCAGCGCACGCAAAAAGCACCATTCACTCAGGTGTTTTATACTAACCAGGGCACCAACTCCTTGGTGTTCGACGGAAGGGCACCAACTTGGCATCCCCATAATGAGCTCTTAAAATTTAGTGTACAATAGCTCACTCTCCTGGGGTCGGACGTTCAGTATGTAGTTTTGCTTTTAGTTTTCAATTGGATGACAGTGAAATCCATTAGGCAACAACAGGGAGAGGATAGCGGTTGATATCCGGTTGGCTAAATGGTGCTCACCCCACAGTGGCTGATGGTCAGGTCACCAGGACAGTTTGCTTCCACTGGGGATCAAACTGCTGCAACTGGTCAAGATCCGTCAATGTGATAAACTGCAACGATTACTATGTTTACTACATAACTGGCACACCCGGATGTTCCCTCCGCTACTGCAGCACAGAGTAAATCGACGCTGGTTCAGAAAATTATTAATTGCTTGAGTCGTCTTTTGAACAATGTTAACTGTGATTTATATGCATTTCACTTTAGCGATATCAGATTGTGTGTTGTGATTGGTCACAAGTAATGATAAATAATCGTGATAAATTAAAAATTTAAAAAAATGAAGAAGAAGAAGGAACATTAACTAAGGGACTTGTCATTATTTATAGCCTGGTAGGTAGAGAATTTTGGAGGATCACAAGGTTTCTTAGTGAGGGACAGAGGGGAATCGGTCTTCCCCGACAGAGAATGACGGCAGAAGACTATAGAGAATTGAATGTCAGTGAACTGGAAATGACAACGGAAGGGTGGGGATCATAAAAATGTACAGAACTGCACGGAGGAGTTTCAGGTAATCGTGACTCCATGAAAGTCCTCCACCAGCAAAGCCCTTCACCCCTGCACCCGCCCCCTCCCCCCGACAGATGATAAATAAGTCCCTTAGGTGTGGCTGTTTGTAAAAGTTCTCCGGTAATCCTGATGATGACGAAGCTGGTCAATGTGTATTGGTTCTCCATACATGTTTTTCTCGCGTATTTAATGAAACATTTTACCAAGCTGAGGGCTAATGATGATTTTCAAGGGGTGAGTTTCACATGAAATCACAAGAAACTTTCGTCTATATAATTGCACGAATTGGTGCCCTGTGTTTTTGGTGGGAAAGGGTCTTCTAAATCACTTGCACTGTTTACTAATTGAAATAAACCAAAAAAAAATACTCGCCAAATGCATCCAAGAATATCCACTGTTAGGTTACCTTGACTAAATAAAACTGGGTTAGAATACCCAATTATCTTGATTCAAAATTATCATTTAGAAAACTCAAAATGTCAAAGGCAGCTTAATTAGAAACCTTTAAACTCAGTGTTTTTTTCAGTCATACTCGTGGTTTTTGTTTTGACTGCTACAAATAGGAATATTAAACATGTTTTTTTTTCCTTTTTCATAGATTTCATTTCATTTTTAGGTCAAAAACCTAAAAACAAAAGCAAAAAAACCGCTTTGGACATATTGTGTTGAACGAAAACGAAAACTCTATGTAAATTATAGGACGGCCGAATTCGACGAACCTCCCATTTAAATCAAACTCTTTTCATTTTCTTCCATTGTCCGGACGGGTTTATGACATTACAGATAGAAAGTGATGTGCCACGATTTACCGAAGCAATTTTTCGGCATAAGGTTATTCCGACACCTCCATGGGAAATTACGCGCGCCCTGATTAGGAGGTTAATTGCTGCGGAAAATTTGATATAAATTTTTCATTTAAGATGGCTTTATTAAGGCAGGGAAAACTGTAACTTTCACGATTCTTAGGCAGGAGTAAATCAGCGCTTGCCGCAAAGATTCGGAGCCAATTTCATATAGAGACATTGAAAAATTATTCTTCTGACAATTGATTGCAAAAAAAAGGTTAAGCTGCTTTACCAAACTTCAACGTTTGAAAAATGCCCTTTGAACATTCGTCTGTATTAATTGCAGTAGCTTTAGATGGAATGAGCCAGTACTTGTGGCCGAGTTGCAAAGGAGAAACGCTTATTAAAGGCGTCAAGTTAATTGGAAGTTTTCAAAACACTTAAAACTGACAAAAAAAGGAGAATATACTACAAAAAAAAAAAAACGTACAAATGCGGGCATCCAAAGTGGGTTTCATCTACAAAAGCTAAGAGCTTTCTGTAGATATACTCATTTGCTATTTTTTCAGGACGGAGGAAATTTAAAAAACTGCTCAAAATCTCAGGAAAATGCAGTTCATGTTCTAGTCGAACATTATACAATAAAGTAATTTCCTAAGTCATTAATTTGCAGGATTATTTGGGTGAACAGTACTCAATTATAAATTTCATTATGAAAGCCTCTTATTAGATAATGACTAATCTACTGTGTGTTATAAGATACTGACGTTGATTGGACTTGACCTGAATACCGTAGCTTTTCCTTCAAAGTCAATGGGATTCTGTACATCAATAATATTGGGAACAGGCCCTTACAATTTTATCTTCTCATTTTAATCGACAGAGAACAAGTTATATCGTCTAAATAATTCTGCCTCAACGATGTGTTTAGGACCTGCTGATTAACACGTCTTCCTTGCAAAATACTCTTAATTTGTTATGCTGAACGTTGTCTGTATGTTCAAATCCTTGACACCTTTAAAACTGTAAAACATAAAGTCTGACAATTCAAACTACTGTTTGTATAACACAAAAGAAATAAGGATTGTAATTTACTCAAAGGTATTAACGAATTGATAAATATAAAACACACAGGTATGTTCCAGTGGATTGATTCCCTGAAAGAAGTTATAAACTTGAGCTTTTATCTGAAGGATGATCTAATCTCTGTAAGAAAGGAAAAAATGTATGTACAGGAAATGTAAGGATCAGGTCAGATATTTTGAAAACTTAATGTGCAGATATCACACTTAAGGACTCATGTTACGCTATATTTTCATAGGTGGTAGTACATGGACGATCTTTGTTGGTGGAATGATTAGCCTCGTTAATTCTTTCTCTGTTTGAACGTTAAATTTTCTCAGTATATTTTTATATTTTCAGGGCCATTTTGATGAATATTTTAACATGTGTAAACAAGCATAAATAGATAAATTTGTAAGATTATACACTTAGCTAGTTGTACAACGCACTAAACTATACATTCAAATCGCAATTTCATGAATCATTTCCTGTCCTGTCTTTTTTTTTCGTTAATCTCAGGTGCATAATTAACAAAAATCGACAGAAAATTACCGTAATTTCTTACTGAAATTATACCGCTTTCTTCAACCCAAATTAATCACAATATTTATTTTTTTCAAAATTTCTCTTAGACGAGAGACGAACCAGTGGTAATGACGATGCGGTTCTGTATTGTAATTGCAGTGTGCTACTTTAATGAAATTTTCGCTCGAGAATGCAAAAAGGATGAGCATGCCATTTTGGGCATGATGCTTCGAAGACACACCTTCAAAACTATGAAATCATCGATTGCGGTTGAATGTAATCAGGCGTGTAACGATGATTTCCGATGTCACAGCTTCAACTACGTCATTTCTGAGGAACTATGTGAACTAAATAACCGGACTAAGGAGGCCAGACCAGAGAACTTTGTGCCAAATTCTGCGAGATATTATGTTAAGAGTAATAAGGAAAGAGGTCAGTTTAACCATAGAAAACACTCATCAATGAAGTGAAACCCATCTGAACAATAGTGGCTTTGTAGAAAAGTAAGACCATAGGTGAATGACATAAATTGGTCTAAATTTATACTTTGAAGTTATTCCCACATTTAAGTCAGAAGGCAATTTCTGACCCGAAAGCCTTTTTCCATCGAGAACCATAATAAACAAAAGTGACTATTTTTTTTCTTTCACTTGCGCACTGTAATAAGACGGAAACCTGCAATGAAGCTCATGACGTCAAAACTTGCCTTCTCTCCAGTACATATATAGATTTAGTTTTATTTTTGGTGGGCAAATGGAAATTAGAATTACTTTCTGAAGAAAATGTTTTTCGACCTCAGTTCGTCTTGGTTCCATTCCGGAATTTCCAGCGGATACATGTGAGGAGATACAACGAAGCGAAGAGGGAGAAGCGACCAGCGGCGAGTACTGGCTTTACTCCATCACAACGAGAAAAACTGTTCTTGTTTCTTGCAATATGGAAAGAAAGGGTGACAAAACTGAAGTTTTTTTTGTTCTTGTAATTGATGTGGATGTGAAAATTTTAATTCTTGTGATTTACAGGTAGAGTAATTGATTTGTTGTGCACTGTTTGTCTCCTTTCGATGAAATCCTTGTCACAACCGTCAAATATAGCGGTAAATGTCATGTTGTTTTCTCATTTGTACATGTCTGTATTACATCAGTTATAAAACTTGGGAACACCTTAACCAAAGTAAGGATACAGTAGACCTTCGGAAGCCAATTTTATTATTATTTTTTTTGCACTAATTATTCAGCCCATCAAGTGTTCATGGCCAACTAGAACCTGTCAACACGAATTAGAGATACTTTTTGCGGCAAAACATCTTATAAACGGTAGCTCTTCAATTTCAATCGCGTAAACATTTCCTGATTTCGATCGCACGTGATCTCTGCAATCGGTTTGGGTGTAAAACTGGACAAAAGTCTAACAAAGATAGCCTGGCCGAGAAGAAATTCGACACGAAAAGGCGAAAAAGGCCTCTCAAACAGACAAAGGTTCGTGGTTTGAGGAATTTTGGCTGACCGCACTCGATCAAAAAGTTCTACCGCGGCTGCTCGAGCCGTGTGAGACTTGAAATTGCCCATAAGCAGAGTTCAACAAGATGTTTTAGTTGCAACTTGTAGATAGTATTCTACGAAACATATTTTTGCCAATGTCTCCTGGGTCTTTGCAGATTACCCCTGTCTTTCTAATGGGGGTCGATATTTCTAGCGGTCAGGGTGTTCAAGTAGTTTAACATATGGCCACCTAAAGGAGTGAAAGGCGTTAGTTACAAATATTGAAAAAAAAACAAAAAAAAGAAAGAACAAAGATTCTCCGTTTTTATACAAGTGTGTGCATTGTCAATAAATTTTTCAAGCGTTAAAATGTCACCGATTGCCTTGAAATGTTTTGAACTTCGATTTCTCGGTGATGAGATACGTTGTAGCTGTAAGGATTTTTAGATTTCATATTAGATTTAGATTGCATATTTGTGCCCCTCGCAGACAAACAGGCACCGGCAAAGAAGGACTTATTACCTGACCATCTTGCTGTTTGCAACCAGTTAATGTCAATTTATACTTTTCATGGATGGTATATTTGCTTATATTCGACAGATATTGCATTAATTGCACAATTAACCATATTTTTATACAGAGGTTAATTTTACGGTGAATGGGAGAAAAGAACGCTTTGGCACTGTACAGACGTTTACAATTCCACGGACCACCCGCTATCTCATCAAAGCCTGGGGCGCTCGGGGAGAGACTGACTGAC